CGAACCGGGGCCCTGTGGCGTCCCAAGCCAGTTCTTAACCATTGCGCCACTCGGCCGGCCCAAGTAGCCTTCTTCTTTACTGATGTTCTTTCTGGCTTCCCTTAAAGGGCACCTTTAACTTTGAGTCTCTCCTGTTATTTGGTATATTCTGATTCTATGAATTAGTAAAAGCCTTGATGATTTTAAAAGCTCTCTTTGTAACAGATACTGAGGTTTTTACTCTTTAATATTTAGTTTTCTCTCATAAGAAAAACCCCTTTTAGTTCTCATTGTCTGGATCTAGTCCAGCTTTATACCTCTGTTTTACAGTAGTATGTTTAAAATCACTTGTTGATTTCTCAAGGGGATGTACCAGAGTTTTGTAGATGGAGTATTTCAGAAGTACTTCCTGAGAATGTCCAGAACGTGGATAAGAGCATGTTTATGCTTATATCTTTAAGGATTCACTTAGAACCCTAACCTTAGTAATATTTTATAATAGGTAATGTTAATATACACTTTCATTTTCCTCAAAACTTATGCAGTTAAATTTCATCTATTGTGCTCTTGTACTTTTCTCCCTTATTTGGGCACTTTAGTTCCTTCTATAAATTTAGAAGTATAAGGCTATTTGAATAAATTGGATCCCACGATATGTCTAGATAATTTCCTGCTTTTTATTTTTTATTTGCTTATGGATACTGCCTCTGTATTCTGTATCCATTAAAAAACATTTCTTTGGGTAATTTGCAGTCTTAGTAAAAAACTGTTCTAATAAACAACCAGCTCACTGTTCCATATATCTCAATTTGTTAAATAAAACAAAATTCTTAGAATCAAATAGTTTTTGTCATTTGGTGTTTTACTTTCAAGTTTATCATTTGTGATTATCAAACTTAATTTCACTTTATGGTTTTGTTGTGGGAAGTCATCCTTTCTAATAACTTTGGACTAGTCCAATTTGTGGCTTATCAGGGGTTATATCCTGTTACTATTATTAAACTCTCAGGCTTCTGATTGGCCCTTTATTATCCTGGAGAAATTAGCATTTGTAAGATTGAGAGGCCAGTGGACTTTTGTCCTGATACCATGTAAAATATCAGAAGAAACATTTAGTAAACATCATCCTGTTCAAGGAATTGAGTCACATTGAATTACTTCGTGGACGTTTTGTATAAATTTGGCTTTTGGGAATACTGACAAACTAATTTTGATACACTTTATTCTGTTTACTGAAAATGTACTTTAAAAAGTAAGTTACAAATTTTATATTTTTTACTCCTGTTAGGGAACCTATTGATAATCTAACTCCTGAGGAAAGAGATGCAAGGACGGTTTTCTGCATGCAGCTGGCAGCAAGAATTCGGCCAAGGGATCTGGAAGAGTTTTTCTCTACAGTAGGAAAGGTAATCTTAGCCTATTTAGGGAGATAAAATAAGTGGAAATTGCAAACAACATTTTAATAATGGTTAGTACAGCAGGTAGAATGCGAAGACATCTGACCACCAGATCTTGTAGAATTTAGTTAGGGACTTTATTTTTGGTAACATTTGTTTTGCGTCATTTGGAAGTTTAATAGTGTTGAAGTTGATAACTGTTACCATGTATTCATCTAAAGATAGAAGTCAGTCTACACATTGACTTATTTAACCCTCTGTCTGGTACAACTGATCTCACAGATTGTTTTGAATTTCTGTTGATTTTTATACTGAATTTATGTAATAAACATTGTTTTTACTTTGTGGCAAATTAAAATTACATTCTGAATAAATAATAAGCATGTTTACACGTTATTTTCATTCATTTTCAATTTAAATAAATGTCATATGTGCATCTAGTAGATGCATTGTGCCCGATGGAGGGTTAAAAATAAAATAGTGCTGCATCAATACTGTGCCTCTTGTCTCTTTTTGAAATTATTATCTATAATGGTTTATACTGGATGATTGCACAGACAACCTTGTGATAAGTGTTTTCTTTTTAGGTTCGAGATGTGAGGATGATATCTGATAGAAATTCAAGACGTTCCAAGGGAATCGCTTATGTGGAGTTTGTCGATGTTAGCTCAGTGCCTCTAGCAATAGGATTAACTGGCCAACGTGTTTTAGGAGTGCCAATCATAGTACAGGCATCACAGGTAATATTTTTGTTAAGAATTTGCTCACCCGTAGTACTGGAAACCTGTTGCTTTGTGTTGTGCCGTAGTGCCTCGTGCCTTACATAATTACCACTAACTACTGTAAGTCAGATGTTCTCAGGATAGCTTTCTTTTTTTAACTTTGCCTTGATTACTTTGATAATAGTGTATTCTCAATCCCATTCTGTTCCATTTTAATATATGTTGTAAATATCTATTTCACAAAAAAGACTTGAGAATTTGGTCTGGAATTTTACTGATTTGTGATGATTTCTTAGATGGAGATAGAAGCATCCAAGGTCATGTTTTCCCTTTCAAATGGAATGATTTTCTCATTGTTAATTTAATATTTTCACAAGGTATTATACAATGTTAAGAGTAGTTTGAATAGCTATCAATTCTAGCATTTCTTGAAAATAAGATATTTCAAACTAATTTTGAGAATATCTTCTATTTAAGATAACTGCAATTGTGATTTAATTTCTCTTAGCTGATACTCTGCAGAATTGGCATTAATATTTTAGTTCATTTAGATGTGGAGAAATTGGGATGTATCAATGTATTGAGTATATAATATGAAAGTACATGTTTGTAGGATTCATCATCAGCACCTGAATAGTCACATTGGTTGCTTTTCAAACCATTGACATAAACACCGCATAATTCCTAAATAATCTGGTTACTTCATCAAACTTTAACATAATAGTATAAATTTATGCATAAGCTTTGTAACAGATCTGACTTGAAGTTGCAGTTTCACTGCTAATAAGCTTACATAATGATCAAATTACTCACTAGCTCTTATCACCTCTAAAAGGTGATAACAGGTCCTATTTTGGGAGTATTTAACTGGGTATCACTATTGTTTGTAAACAATAGGAAAATAATTGTTAGAAAATGGGGGGAAGTCATTGCTCAGTTCATTTCCTATGATGGAGGGGAGGACAAACCTAATAGTGTGTAGATTGACTTGACAGAGGGCTGGGTAGCATCAAATTATGTTTTGAATTCATTTAACCTGTTGAGATGTACTACTCAAGGTAGCCAGTCTGTTGTAAGAAAAGGAGCTTGTGTTAGCATGTAAAGTAAAAACTATTGATTTTGAGAAGTACTTGCTTTGGAATAAATTGACAGTGAATGGTTTGATTTGATTGATATTGACATAAGCTCCTTTATGACAGTCAGTTGGTGTACTGTACTTTGAGTAACTGATCTGAGAGTACATTAATGAATAATAAATGTATTTAACGATTCCAAGAAACAATGTTATGTTATACATTAGCATGTTGATACCAGGATGCATCAGATGGCATAATGTAGTTTTATGATTATTTTATGTATGAAATGCATGCACGATTGCTCTATATATGACTTTTACATATGTCTTAAAACTTTATCTAAAAATTCTGTGGGAAAAAACCATTAAGTAAAACAATTCATATTAAAAAATTTGGCATTTTAATCATTTACGGATATAATTCAGTGCCATTAATCACAGTAACAGTAAGTGGAATTACACAATGTTTGTCCTTTTGTTTATGACTATTACACTTAGCATAATATCATCACTAACCTTGGACATGAGTCATTAAGCATCCTAAAGTGTGAATGGGATTTATTACTCTGTTTAAAATTATTTGTTTCAGTGCTGTGATGTGCATTTTGTTTTATCTGTAGGCAGAAAAAAACAGAGCTGCAGCAATGGCGAACAATCTACAAAAGGGAAGTGCTGGACCTATGAGGCTTTATGTGGGCTCTTTACACTTTAACATAACTGAAGATATGCTTCGGGGGATCTTTGAGCCTTTTGGAAGGGTAAGTCCCAATTTCTTTCATGGATCCTTGATAGGTTCTTCATCCAAATATAACTGCATACTAATTTTTGTATATCTGCTTTGTCATGTTTTTAAGATTAACATTCAGATGGGGGCGAGTAAAGGGCTGGCCAAGTGGCTCAGTTGGTTAAGAGCTCACTCAAGAGTGCGAGCTCTGAGCAACAAGGTTGCCGGTTCGATTCCTAGCCCAAGCTGAGCTGCTGCTGAGCTGCCGACAGGTGGCAGGATGGCTCAGCTAAAAAAAAAAAAAATGGGGGAGAGTGTTTCTGTAAGGTTTTTGTGACAACTTAGATTTCTAAGATATTTCCCTGAAAGAAGATATTATCTGAAGATACAATGCTACAGTGAAATGCATAAGTGCTAGAATCGCTTGTTTTTAAAAAATCAACATGAATGATAAAAGTGTGTACTGTGCATTTGGAGCAAGAGATTTTTCTTCCCTTGGTGGGTTTTGTGGGGGGTTTTTTTTTTTTCTATGCTTATTGAAAATTGAGGGGTACGTAGCGAGAGGCTTCTCTACTAAATTAAGGAATAATTAGACTGTTTTTGTTTCTGTCTAGTAAGTCTTCATTTTAGAATAGACATTTTGTTTTAAAATAAATGTTAATAGCAGGCTGTGCTCTGGTTTAAAAGATTCATGACATGGCCATGAATAAAAATCGGGGTTCTTGCTGTATCGTGTTCACTGATGTTTGTTGCCATTGGATATACTTTTGATTTTTATTGGGGAATTGGGGATGGGAACAGCACTGGGGAACTGGGGGAAGGGGAACAGACAAGTTGCTGTCCTTTTGTTCTTCAGTCTAGTTGTGGAGGATGTTGCTTCACTGGCCAAAGTTGGCACCATCATTGAGCTCTTCCCGGGTGAGGCAGATTAGTTGCCGGCTTCTGGACGGTCGCTCACACTGGCTGCTGGCTACACACGGTAGCCCATGGCAACCCACTGCAGCAGGGGCTGCAGCTTACGCCATCACCGGCAACTCATGGCAGCATAGTTCCAGGTTGAGCTGTTGTTCAGCATCTTAGCTGTAGAGGGCAGTGTCATTGGCCCTCATGTGGGATCCGAACCAGGGCCCTCTGGCGTCCTAAGCCAGCTCTTACCCTACGCGCCACTCAGCTGGCCCGGATGTACTTTTTATTGCTTTCTTTCACTACCCCACTGAGCCCCTTTGTTAAACTGTTTTAAGTGTCAATAATAAATGTAAGGGTGTTGAGATTGTGGGTATTTTATTTATTGGAAATATACACATACTGATAGTGCACGAATCATAATTGCAAGGGTTGATCGGTCATTACAAAATGAATACATTTCTGGGCTGGCTGAGTGGAGCGATGGTTAAGAACTGGCTTAGGACGCCAGAGGGCCCCAGTTCAGATCCCACATATGAGGGCCACTGACACTGCCCTCCACAGCTAAGATGCTGAACAACAGCTCAACCTGGAGCTGGGTTGCCATGAGTCGCCGGTGACAGTTGGTTGTCATGGGCTACTGTGTGTAGCCAGCAGCCAGCGTGAGCGGCCAGCAGCCGCAGTACGCGGCCGTCCAGAAGCCGGCGACTGATCTGCCTTGCCCAGGAAGAGTGCAATGATGGTGCCAACTTAGGCCAGTGAAGCAACGTCCTCCATAACTAGACTGAAGAACAAAGCGACAGCAATTTGTTCCCCTTCCCCCAATTCCCCAATAAAAATCTTTATAAAAAAAAATAATAAATTTCTAAAACGACCAGAACATGAAGAAATACGATACATGGGTGCTGTATTTTAATTTTTCATGCTTGCTTTATATGGACAGCTCTATTGGGATAATGTAATGTAATTCACAAACCATACAATTCACCCATTTAAAGTTAACAGTTAACTGCTTTTTATTATATTCACAAAAGTTGTGCAATCATTAGCCACACCCAGTGTTGAATATTCCAATATTTGGGGCAATTTATCATGTCCAGCATTGAGAATTGATTTTCAATGCTAGCATAATGGAAAGGAAACAACGATGTTGATTTTGTTTCTTAACTCTTAAAATGCTAATTGCATTTCACGAAGGATTTTTGGCTTTTGCAATTTGTTTTTGAACCAAAAGTCTTAAGTGTTGAAATTTCTTCCATTTCTCAAGTTTATGACTCCTTGTTTGGGAAGTTTCTAGACCTCTAGAAGATTTTTGAGGTCATGAGGGATTGTGGTATGTTTTCAATGATTTTTTAGGGTGACAGGAGATTTTTTAAACATGTTTCGAGGAATAAAAGCTTGCCCCATCCTTTTCACTTACAATATATTTTTTAAAATTTTTAGATTGAAAGTATCCAGCTCATGATGGATAGTGAAACAGGTCGATCCAAAGGATACGGATTTATTACGGTAATGAAATACTATGACTGTGACATTATGACTTAAAAGTATTTGATCTAAGCAGCATAGTAAAACTTCATTAGTTATTGGTAACAAGGAAGGGAGGTATGCTTAATACTTAAATTAGCTTGCCGTTAATAGCCATTTCTTTGTAGCACTAAGTGTTCCCCAAATGTGAAAGTTTATTGAACCAATTTACTATTAGCCTGTATGTGGCCAATTTGCTTAGCCAACTCTGTATAATTGAAGTCTCTGACTTCTTTATGATTTCATCATTTTCTGACTCTTTTATGACAGTGTTGTCAGTTGAATGAAGGTCTCGTAATTCCCTTTTACCTAAAACCCTTTCTATATGTGTGCAACTTAACCACAATGACCAGGAATGCTTTATTAAAAGTGCTTCTGGTTAACTCTTGCAGCCCAGTCCCTGATTAGGGTATGAAGTGGCAGCTGGAATAATTGTGAATGGAGGTGCCCTGTTAACAGTAAACTCATTGTCTATTACTTCTTGTTACAATCCAATTACATGATAGCAATTTTTCACATGTATTATCTTACAACATTGGAAGATCCTGGAAACATTTTTACTTTAAAATACAGATATGTCCCAATTTTAATCAAGAATTTATAATTGTCTTAATATCCAAAGTTCCATAAAATTTAAACTTGTTCTGTAGTGGTAGAGAATCTATTTTATTGGTCATAGGGATTTTATCTACCTAATATGTGCTGGTGCAAGGAGAAAACTTATAAAGCTGTAAACTCACCAACATTTTATTTTGTTTCTAGTAACTATGTGGTTGTTTTTTCTCTCCCCCAATAAAAAATGATGTGGGGTTTTTTAAAAAGGGATTTTACAATAAATGTAACATTAAATTGAGTATTTCATCCTACTTATTACCTAAAGTATTTAGTGTGATACTCTGGTTTCTCTTCAGATCGTATAAATCTTTCGCCTTTTACTAAAGTATTTAGTGTTTTATGAGGTTTAGTGCTTGAATGTTTCGTCACTGTAATACTATTGTCATATTAACAATGAAAGCATATTTTTTTATTCTTTAACATTAACTAAGTTTTAATTATTTACTGTGACTTAGTGATCTGTATACAAAGCTAGAGTATGTAAATATATGATGGTGTGTGTGTGTATGTAAATGTTTTTTGTTTTGTAACTATAAACATAGAAACAAAGAAAGATTAAGCTGTGGAATTGATGGGAATATGTTCCCTTCTTCCATTAAATTAAAACCTGAATTAAGAGTTTTATTGTGTCTGCATCCTGGAATTAAGAATTTTCATGATTTCATTGGCAAGAAAACATGGCCCAGAATTTTGTATTAAAAATAACATCTGAATAAATTAAATTTTTTTCTGAATAGTTTGCTTTTTATAAGGGGAACAAACCACTCTTTTAGTTTTATCCCAGCACAAGAAAGGGTTTTGATGTTTTATAAATTTTCACATTTTGTTACTAAGATTCCTTATTTCTAAAGATAGGTGGCATTACTTAATATCTTGTCATTTTAAACCACTACATCAATAAAGCTAATTTGCATGAGGTTATGGTCTGATGACATTGGTTATATTAATAGCTTGAAATTTCTACTTTATTATCCACCCAGTTACAACAATTGAATGTACTAGACTTAAGTGTGCATTTCCTTACCTTAGTTACTTATGTAAACTAATGTATTGTACTTTTTTTAATTCCTCCCTCAATTATACAGTTTTCTGATTCAGAATGTGCCAAGAAGGCTTTGGAACAACTTAATGGATTTGAGCTAGCAGGAAGGCCAATGAAAGTTGGCCATGTTACTGAACGTACTGATGCTTCCAGTGCTAGCTCATTTTTGGACAGTGATGAACTGGAAAGGACTGGAATTGATTTGGGAACAACTGGTCGTCTCCAATTAATGGCAAGACTTGCGGAGGGTAAGTTTTTTAGTGTTGTGAATGATTTATTATGGGTTATGATAATGAGAAAGGTAATCATGTAGACTAATAAATAGTAAATGATTTCTTATTTTGGAGTAGACGTTATCCTTGGGCAGCACACATGTAGTTTCTAGATGGAAGAAGTTCTAGTGGAATCTATTTTATAGTGATGCACTTTGAGTACTATAGCATATGTTACAGGATTCCTTTTGCTTTCTGTAAAAATGATATCTTTGCAAAGAATAAATTTAATAGCAGTTCTTATACACTATTCTACTAGTATTTTCTTCTAGTGAAATGATTTTGGTAGTAAGCACTCAGAAAACTAGGTTTTTCTGCTCTTAACATAGTAAGGACTTTTTTTTTTTACAGGTACAGGTTTGCAGATCCCACCAGCAGCACAACAAGCTCTACAAATGAGTGGCTCTTTGGCATTTGGTGCTGTGGCAGGTAGGAATTGAATCTTTTCTAATTTGAAATCATTGTTTTTTCACCTAATTCGAAAATTTGCCAAATTTTTGTATTTAAAAGGACTTACAGAGAATTCAATTCATCAAGTACTTCTGGCCTATAAATTTCAAGAGTGTGTGTGAGGAAGTGGAGATATAGGACAGAATGATCCAGTAATTTTAACAAGCTGTCAGAGGATTACTACTAAACCCTGCACATCAATTTTTAGTTAAAATTGCTGTAAATTAAACCTTTTTAAAATACATCACTTTTTTTTTTTTTTTTGAGCCATCCCGCCACCTGTTGGCATAAAATACATCACTTTTAATTAAAGACCAAAAACTTGATAATTGCTTTAAAGAAAAAATGTTTCTTTGTA